GGGACATGGTGGGGGATGGAGGGGGTGGTCAGCGTGCTGAGGGGACAGGGCAGAGGGGGGCAGGGACATGGTGGGGGATGGAGGGGGTGGTCAGCGTGCTGAGGGGACAGGGCAGAGGCGGGCAGGGACGCAGCGAGTGGATGGCCGCTCACCCCCTGCTTGAAGCCACGGCTGCAGTTGAGGCACCGCCCCTCCAGGTACAGGTGGGAACTGCGGCTCACTTCGTACACACCCTGTGCCTTGCAGGACACGCACTCCAGGGACACGATGGGAACCCGCCCACTCCGGATCAGCACCTGGGAGGGACATTGAGGCCACCGAGCTGAGCCCCGGTCCTAGAAGCAGCCCCTGCAGGTGGGTGGTCCTGAGCCCATGAAGGGGGGCCTCTGCCTTAAGCATGCTGCTCCCTGGCCAGGAATACCCAGCCCCCCCACCTCTGCTCAGACTCCATGCTCCCCAGGGCCTACTGGTCGTGTCTCCCCGTCCGGACGGTGTGAGGGTGTAAGGAGGCTCCACAGGAGCAGGGCCACATCGGGCTCATTTTTCGCAGCTTCTGGTGCCACTAGCAGGGCACACGCCTTCTCCCGAGGGCAGACAGATACCTGTGTCACCTGTCCGCGGTCCCGACCCTCCTGGTGTGTGGGCCACTGGGGGAGGGGAGGGGAGGGGAGGGTGCCCACACGAGGGGGAGAGCTGGCCTCTGACCACACCTGGGGACCAGCAGACCTGTGTTCTGGGGACAGTGGCTGCCTTGGGGCCGGGTGGGACGGGACTCTTAACGTCGTCCCCTTTGCACTGTTGGGGCACTCGGTGTGATCTTCAAACCCCGGGGTGACGCAGCACCTCGGTGGCCTGGTGCGGGGCTGCATCCTACTCTGAGGCTGCGCCACCGCAGCAGGACGCCCTCGACTACGCTTGTGTTAACTGCGGCCGTGGTTTAAGAGACCTGAACCTCCAAAAGTCTAAAATACGGGAGACCCTTAAAAAGGAGGGGGCTGCGGACAAGTGACCCGCTGTCACCCCAGGACCGACTGCCGGGAGCACCCCCACCCCCACAGCCAGCCAGCACCCACCGTCTGGTTGGTCACCTCCTCCTTCCGGCCAGCCTTCCACACGGTCAGGTCGAAGGTGTACTCCACACCAGCCTCCAGCCGCTCACGGGGGATGGTGACCACAGGGCTCCCGCGGGGTCCGAAGTTCAGCACACACCCACCGGCCTCACTCTGCAGCCCAAACACGGGGGAAGGAATGAGAACCCTGACCGCCTGCCCTGAAGACAGCTCAGGGACCCTCCCACCTCCCGCCGGGGCTAGAAGCCCGGGCTGGCCCCCGGGGACCTGGGAGGCGGCGGCACAGGCCCAGTGGAAGCTGAGCGGTGTCTGGTCACCGTCCTCCAGGTTGGGGTCATAAGATCGGCTCCCGTCCAGCACCAGGTCCCGCGTGTCTGACCACACGCGGTACGAGCCGCCCTCGATGATGGGCACCAGGCGCTCGGGGACCACCGTCACGTTGGCCTGGATGCTGCGCGCAAGTGGCGTGTCCCCAAACGACACCACGAACACGAAGCAGTAGTGGCCCACAGGCAGCGCCAGCCGCGGCACCACCAGCTGTGGCCGGCTCGTGTCCACGCCAGGCAGGACCAGGCGGGTGGCACGCCCAGGCCGCCGGCAGCTGGTGGTGCGGTACACCTCCCAGCGGTACTCGGTCTGGTAGGTGACGCAGCCACGCAGGTCGACGTGGGCCTCCAGGTAGTTCCGCTGGGAACGGCGCATCAGCACCTGTGGGGGCAGGGCCACATCCACTTCGGGCTCCTCGCAGGCCAGCACGTGCACCGTCACTGCCGCCTGCGCCACGAAGAAGCTGACCAGGTTGGACGCGTTCACCTGCACACGGTAGTCCCCGGGCTGCAGGTAGGCGTGGGTGGCCCAGGGCTCCGCCGTTGCCTGTCCCAGGGCCCCGTCCCCGAAATCCCAGCGGAAGACCACACGCCGTGGGCTGGGACTGGCGGAGGCCTCGAAGCGGGCCGAGCGGTTGGCGAAGCAGCGGTCACTGTGCAGCGCCACGTGCTGGATGACGTCCTGCACCTCGAGCCAGCGCGTGAGGTTGATGCCGCCCAGCTCGTTGAAGGCACGCACCTGGACCTCAAGCAGCCCCGCAGCCACAGGTGTGTAGGTGACGTCGCGGCCCGACAGGATAACCAGCGAGTCGCCCTGCACCTTCTGCAGTGAGAAGTACCAGGCGTACTGGACGCGGGAGCCGTGCCGCACACGGGCCGTGAAGTTCTGCTCGGCCCCTGTGGGCACGCCTGGTGCGCAGCAGTGTGGCATCCACAGCCCGCCCACAGCCTCCAGCACGGCCACACGCACCTGTGCCTGCGCCCGGCTCACGTGGTTCTCGGCCTGCACGCCCACCACGTAGTCCCCGGCACGCGGGAAGATGCGCGAGAAGCGTAGCCCGGCGAGCAGCTCGGGGTCGGCCCCGCCCACCTGCAGGCGCAGCACCACGCCCGAACCAGCAGCCAGCAGCACCTGGAAGTCGACCGACTGCCCGGGCTCCACCACCTTGCTGCTGGCCCACAGCACCAGGCCCACCACAGGCTCCTCCACTGTGAGGTTGTGCACGGCCACTGCCCAGCTGACTGCATTGGAAGCGTTGAGCTGAACAGAGAAGGTGCCAGCCTCGGGGAAGGCCACGGCCACGTGCTGGCCCTGCAGCCTGTGGCCCCCCGGCACTGCCCAACTCCAGCTCACGTTGGTGCCGGCAGCCAGCTGGCCCCAGAAGGGCACAACGGAGCCAGCTGCCACGAAGCTGCAGTCTGGCTCACCGGCCCGGATGCCCAGGCCCACAACAGGCGCCTGCACCGCCACCCCGACAGTGGCGTTGACTGCACCCAGTGCATTCTCAGCCACAACCGTGACCAGGTGCAGGCCAGGGCTGGTGAAGGCATGGGTCGTGGCCGGCCCCAAGGTCACCCAGCGCAGCCCCCCCGCCAGGCCCCAGGTGAACGCGACGCCACCGCCGCCTGTGAGTTCGGCAGCCAGGGTGACGCTCTCGTTGATGGCAGCCGGGTTGGGGGCGGCAGCCACAGTCAGCAACCCCACAGGGTCCACAAAGTGCAGGGTACGGTTGGCCATGGCGCTGCCCAGCATGTTGGTGGCCCGCAGCTGGACGAGGTAGGTGCCAGGCTCAAGCACAGTGAGTGAAAAGACCCTGCCGGTGGCAGCCAGCAGGGGGCCCCCAGGCTGCTGGGCGGTCCAGCTGTAGGAGATGTTGGTGCCGTCCCGGACCGCGGCCTGCAGCTGCAGGGTGCGGTTGGTGGGGAAGCAGCTGCCCCTGCCGCCACCCACCACCTGCAGCCCCTCGATGTGCTGCAGCACGTAGATGAAGATGCTGTCCTGCACGGCGCCCACCGCATTCTCCGCCGTGACGATGATGTTGAAGGTGCCCACTGAGCGGAAAGTGTAGGAGATGGTGGGGCCCCCGGGGATGGGGGTGCAGCGGTCACAGAGCACCCAGGAGTAGCGTGCGTCGCTGCCCGCCTCCAGCGTGGTGCTGAAGCTGACGCTGCCGTTGAGCGGCACGACCGTGCGGCTGGCGTTGACACGGAGCCCCCGCACCCGCCGCACCACAGTCACGTTCAGCCAGGCCTCGCCACGGCTCACCTCGTTCCAGCCGGTCACCCTCACGGTGAAGGCGCCTGTGCGGTTGTAGGCGTGGGTGACGGCAGGGCCCTCGAGCTGCCCACCGTCCCCCAGCTCCCACAGGTAGCTGACGAGGCTGCCGTGGCCGGCGACGGTGAACAGGTACGGCTGCTGCGCCTCCAGCACGTGTGAGCCGTTGACCCTGACGCCCGTGAGCGCCACGGGCTCCTGTACCTCCACCACCGCCGAGTCGTTGCCAACCGAGACATTGTTGGACACGGTGACTGTCACCAGGTAGGAGCCAGCCTCCTGGTAAGTGTGGGCGGCTTCGGGGCCCCCGAGGCGGGTGGCGGCATCCTCGGTGCCCCAGTCCCAGGCATAGCGGTAGGGAAAGCGGGGCCAGGCGTGCGCCTCCAGCCGGGCCACGTCCCCGCGCCGCAGGAACTGCCTCCCGGGCCACAGCGTGACGTTGCCGAGCTCGGGCTCCACGCAGACGCTGGTGAAGTACTGTGCCTTGTTGGCGCGGCTCGACAGCACCAGGGCCAGCGGGAAGGTGCCTGTGCGCGTGAAGTCGTGTGTCACCACTGGGCTCCCAGAGATGGTCGCGTTCGGTGAGCCGTCCCCAAAAATCCACTCGAAGACATAGTGGGCAGGGTCTCCGGTGACATGGGCCGTCAGCTGGGCGTCGGGCTGTGCGGGGATGCAGCCCGCGGGCTCGATGCGCAGCACCTCCAGGACGAAGACGTGCACGGGCAGACTTTGCGCCAGGCGGCCGGCGGGGCTGGCGGCTGTCACGGTCACAGTGCAGTTCTGTGCCCGCAGGTACACGTGCTCCACGGTGGGCTCAGGCCCCGACAGCACCGTGCCATCGCCCATGTTGAAGATCCAAGTGATGTTGTCGCCCGCCTCCAGCGTGGCGCTGACCTGCACGAGCGCGCCCTGCTCCACGGCCGGGCTGAGGCGCACACTCAGGCCACAGGGCTCCTCGAGGACGTGGATGTCGGCCTGTGCCGCTGTGTGGCTCACCGTATTGTTGGCCTCCAAGCGGACGTGGTACATACCCCTCGTGGCATATGTGTGGTTGATGGCTGGCTTGCTCTGCGGCCTGATGCGGGAGCCGTCCCCAAAGTCCCACGTGTATAGGACGCCCCCAGGCGAGGGCAAGGGCAATGGGAAGAAGGTGACAGGCCGGCCGGCCACCAGGACATGGCTGCTCAGCCCCACAGCCAGGGCTGGCAGGGCGGCGCGCACGTGGATGGGTATCTGCCGCGTCAGGTTCTCAAAGGCGTTGGACACAAGCAGGGTCAGGTTGTAATCACCTGTGGGGACAGCCCATGGGGTGGTGGTGACGGGCCGCCTCCCCCTCCTCCTGGGGGGGGATTCCAGTGCCCCGGCCATGCAGTGGGGGGCGGGGGCAGCCCTGGGGGGGGACAGCGGCCCCGCCCTCACCTGGGGCGGTGTAGGTGTGTGTGGTGTTGTGCTCCACCAGCACCTGGGCCACCGTGGGCTCCAGGACCGGGAAGGACTCGTTGTACGGAGGCTTGAACTGGCCCAGCGCCTGCTCTCCGTCCCCGAAGGTCCACCTGGCAGAGCACGGGCACCGGTCAGCGGGTGGTGGCCACTGGAACCCGGCCGCAGCCCACCCCAGCTCGCCCTTCTCAGCGCCCCCATGGCCTCCCCAGCCTGCCCACTTACAGGAAGGCCACCTCGACAGCCGAGTCCACCAGCACGCCAGCCATAAGCACCAGCGTGGCGTTCTGGGGCAGCACGGCAGGCACCGCCGACACCCGTAGCCCCCGCATCCGGTTCATGCGGTCCACGGTGACGTTGTAGTTGACGGTAACGTTGCTCACGTGGTTGGAGGCCGTCAGCTGCAGAGACAGCCGTCACTGAGCGCCAACCCTCAGCGGTGGAGAGGACAGCGAGGGGGCCTAGCGGCACCCCCACACACTGCCCCCCGACTGCCGCTGGGTCCCTGGGAGCAGAGCTGAAGCAGAGCTGAAGGCAGAGATAAGGTTCCCGTGGCCTCACCCCCCACCCACCGAGAGCTTGAAGATGGCAGTGCTCTGGTAGATGACGTTGAAGGCGACGTTGTGGAAAGTCAGCGACTGCTTATCGTCAATGGTCCACCGGAAAACTACGTCTGAGCCCGCCTCCACTGCGGGGCTGTACCTCTGCGGGCAGAGCGCCAGGCAGCCAGGTCAGGGGCGCCAGGTTGGGGGGGCCAGGCTGGAGGCGGCCGGGTCAGGGAGGGCTGGGTAAGGGGGACTGGGTCCGGCGGGGGCCAGGCTGGGGGGGCCGGGTCAAGGGGGACCAAGCCAGGAGGGCTGGGCCGGGGTCTGTGCAGGACCAACGCCCACCCAGACACCTTAGCTCGTACTCTCCACCTGTGACCCTGGTGATGCCCGTGACCTCTCTGTGCCTCAGTTTCCCCACCTGTAAAACAGGCCTGAAACCAGTGACTGAGTCAGCCTATCTGATCCCTTCCGGACCTCCTGCTGTTGTCTGGGAGGCAAGGGCCTCACACAGAGCTGGTGTGGATACCCACACGGGTCGCCTGGTGGGCTGCACGTGACCACACAGGGCAGGTTCCAGGGGGCTCAGGGGAGGCCCTGGGCAGGGGTCAGGGGAGGTCTGGGGGCCTGTACCCACACTCACCACCAGGACACCCTGCAGCACGCGGGACTCAGGGCTGGGCATGGCACGGAGGCCACGCACGGGCTCCTCGGCCGTCACGTGCAGGCTGAGACGGGCTTGGCTGACGCTGTTCTCGGCCACCACCTCCACAGAGTGCTCCCCTTCGCTGAGCCCAGGTAGCGCCAGCACCGAGAACAGCGTGCCGTTGGCCTCACGGGGGCAGCCGGGTACCAGGGTGTCCACCACAGCAGGGCAGGTGGCCTCGAAGGATGCGCTGGCATTGCCCCCAGGCCAGCGGGCCGTGGCCGCGGTGTTGGCACCAGTGTTCACCGCAAGCACCAAGGCCGAGCGGTTGGTGGGCACATAGAGACGGCCATCAAGGGTGGCAGGGTAGACGACACGCAGCCCAGCCAAGGGGGAGGCCACAGCAAAGCTGCAGGACAGGTTGTGCACGGACACACCATTGCTCACCACAGCTCGGACCTCATAGCGCCCGGGACGTTGCAGCCCAGGTTTGGGGCCCAGGCCCAGCAGGGGCGTGAGACGCTCCGTGGCCCCAAGCAGCCGCAGTGCACAGGGTGGGCCGACTGGGGCCTCCTCCAGCTGGGTGGGCAGGTGGGCCAGCCAAGCCGAGGTGTTGGCAGAGAGGTAGGGGGCCTCGGGGGCAGGGAACCTTTGGGCAGGAGGACAGCGCAGGAGGGCACCTGGGCCAGCGTCATGCTGCAGGGCCAGGAGGTCACCGGGGAGCAGGGGCGCATCCTGGTTCCAGAAGGCGATCTGCAGAGAGAAGGCAGAGCTGCTGGGTGGGCAGGGCCACTGGGTGGGTGGGGCCGCTGCTAGGTGGGGCCGCTGGGTGGGCAGGGCCGCAGAGGGCTCCCAACCTGGGGTTTGGCACTTGACAGTCACCCTTACACTCGACCACACATACAGGGCCCCTCCCGTGTGACCAAGCGTTCTATGCCGTGGTGTGGACAGGATGGCCGCAGACAGGTACACACACACCAGGAGAGTGCCGTGGAGGAGACAGGAAGAGAGAGGACGTGGCTCAGGTGGGGGCTTCCCTGGGCAGGGGAGGGCCCTCCAAGGGGACCCTGCGGCCAGGACTTGAGAGGGAGGAACCACCACACAGACAGTCCCCTGAGATGGCCGAGCACATGCAAAGGCCCTGGGGCAGTGCCTCTGTGCTAGGGACATGCAGGGTGGCTGGCACCTTGTGGGTACTACGAAGGCCGGGGGTGCAAGCACGCACACGGGGCCCAGTGGCCTGAGGGGGAGGTGGGGGCTCACGGGGGGAAGGGACTAAGGGGGACAATGGGACGGGGATGATTGGGGGGACAAGGCTGACAAGGGAGACAGGACTGGGGGACGACAGGGGCTGAGGAGAAGAGTGTGGGCATTATCTGTTCAGTGCGGAGACCTTAGACTCGGGCAGCCGAGGGGAAGCGGGGGCACCCAGGCCGGGACACACACCAAGTACCAGGGGCGGGCACACGTCGAGAATCACAGGTACTGTGGGGAGGGGGGTCACACACCAAGTACCACATGGGGGACACACACACCAAGTACCGTGGGGAGTACACACATGGAGTACCGTGGGGGGGGGGGACAAACACCAAGCACTGTGCACGGGGGGGCACGCACCGAGTACCGTGGGGGGGATACACACCAAGTATTGCACAGCGGGTACACACACGGAGCACAGTGTGCGCAGGGGGTACACACCGAGTATCGTGGGGTGGGGGGGACACACCAAATACTGCATGGCAGGGGAGTACACACACCGAGTACTGCGCGGGGGGCACACACCGAGTACTGCAGGGGGCACACACCGAGTACTGCACGGGGGGCACACACCGAGTACTGCGCGGGGGGCACACACCGAGTACTGCAGGGGGCACACACCGAGTACTGCACGGGGGGCACACACCGAGTACTGCGCGGGGGGCACACACCGAGTACTGCAGGGGGCACACACCGAGTACTGCGCGGGGGGCACACACCGAGTACTGCAGGGGGCACACACCGAGTACTGCGCGGGGGGCCCTGTGGGCACGGACACGAGGAACTCCCTCCACAGCACATAGGCGGCCCTGGAGAGCCCGGGCCCCAGCATGGACCCGTTGATGCAGGTCCGAGGGGGGCCGGGCGTGTCCAGCAGTACGCAGATGTTGGCCACAGGGCACCAGCTTCCCTCCGGCATGCATGTGGGAGCCAGCACTGTGCCATTGTCCAGGGATCCACTCTCAGGCTCGCTGCTGTTTTCCGGGGCCCCTGCAAAGAGGAAAGGGGTGCCAGGTCCCAGGCTCACTAACAGGCAGCCGTCTAGAGTGCCAAGTACATCCTGACAAGCTTGGCCCTCGTGACACGGGTGCACCAGGAGCGCCTCCTTGTGGGTGCTGCCCAGCTCCCCAACCTGTCCTGCCCACCCCACCACCCGCTGGACACCAGTCAGGGACTAGGGGAAGACGTGAGAGGTCAGAGGGGCACCCCACGCCCATGGTTCCCACCTGTGCCACCCGCAGGCCGGAACACCTGCAGCCGCAACTGGGCAGGCCGCCCAAGTGCCTGGGTCGCAAACTCAGCTGCAGTCAGGAAGGCCTCACGCCTCACACTGAGGCCAGGGAACACCATCACCTGTGGGCGGGGCGCCACTCAGCTCCAAGACCCTGGTACCTACCCCCTCCCCCGACCCCAGGGCCTGCTGCCGTGAGGAAGGGAAAGTGGCCCCGGGGAAGGCCAGGGTGGCGGGGCCGCCCACGCTCCATCTGCCGAACCCTCTGGACTCCCCAGAGCATTTATGCTGAGCTTGTTCAGCTTCAATGAGGCCCTGGAAAGCAGCCCAGGGGTCGGCCTACCTCCACAGGCCCCTGGGGGTCCACGAGGGCATCCTGCTGCACCAAAGGACTCAGGGGTCCCTGCAGGTCCCCACTGGGTGCTCCCATGAGGACATTCTCTGTATCCCACACGGGGCCTGGGGGTGGAGTGTGCAGTGAGGGTGGGTGTCCAGGTGAGGCAGAGTGGACCCCGCCTGTGCTGGGCCTTCACCCCCCAGCGGCACCCCTCCATGGTTGTCCCAGGGGCTCAGCGTCTAGGAGTGAGGGGAGGACAGAGGGCTGGGGCAGTGAGATGGCAGGGCAGGATCGGGGACAGGATCAGGGTCAGCAAAGCAGGGTGGGGTGGCTGTCCTGGCCCCCGGGGTAGCCCCAGCACCCCCTCGCACGCACCCCCAGGCTGCAGCTCGCAGACGTAGCTGTGCGGTGCCGAGCACAGGTCCGTGTTGCACTGGCCAGCGGGCCCGAGCCGCACGCAGTGCTCAGCTGTGGCGGGGTGCGGCTCCCCAGGCAGCCAGTTCTGGCAGCTCTCCAGGCTGAAGGCCTCGCCCTGCGGTGCCATGCCCGCCTCCGCCTCAGCCCCCTCCACAGCTGAGAAGCCGATCCACACATCCAGGCTCCTGTGGGCAGACGGGCGGTGGGTGGGGGCACCCAGGCTCTCCACGACGGCATCCCTTGTCCTCCTGCCCTCTGGGTGCACGCACCCACGAGAGGCCCCCAGGTGCATCCCATTGCCATCCCGACTTCCAGATGGGGGAACTAAGGCCCAGACACAGGACCTGGAGAGCAAAACCCGCAAACCCAACACAGGGGCCCACAGCGGCCCCCACAGCTGCCATGCCCATGGGGCCAGGAGGCCAAGCCAAGGGCTCCTCATGGGTGTGCACATCAGAGCAGACCACGGGCCCCAAACCAGGGGTCCCCAGGCCCACCACTTGCCCTGCGGGGGTTCCTGAATCCAACCTTGGGACCAAAACAGCCTCACATCAGCCCCCCAGTGAGCTGCCCACCCCAGCTCTGCTAGCTTGGAAGCCGCTCCAAGAGGCCGAGCTTAAGGACAGGCACAGGGGAGACACAGGTACAGATGAGGGTGTGCGCAGAGGTGCAAATGAGAGTGTGGACACAGATGTAGGTGTGGGGCAGGGGCAGGTATAGATGAGGGTGTAGGCACAGGGACAGATATAGACAAGGATGCGGGCACGGGCAGGTGCAGACGAGGATGCGGGCACAGGGGCAGGTGGAGACGAGGATGCGGGCACGGGGGCAGGTGCAGACGAGGATGCGGGCACGGGGGCAGGTGGAGACGAGGATGCGGGCACGGGGGCAGGTGCAGACGAGGATGCGGGCACACGGGCAGGTGCAGACGAGGATGCGGGCAC